GAGGTTTAACACTGATTGCCAATGTTATCATCCAATCCATCAGTCCAATTCTGTGTACAGCAATTTTATTATATAATATGAATAACTTTTATTTAGTATTATGTGTCAGTTACTTATAGTAGACAAATTACGTTAAACACATTGAAATGTAATGAAATACCACAAGTTTATATACTAGAACAGGATCGTGGGTGCGCTCTGCTGAGGAGTCCCACACCAGGACGAAACGGCTGTCCAGTGCTTCCAGGTTTTCGATAGTGGTCTAGCTTCAACTGACTCATGATTTCAATCTGTGAAAATTTCTAAAATCTCCACAAACCCCTTATGAATGTATTTAACACAGAATTACAAGACTTCTTAATAAAATCTAACAATCATAAAGTAAATGCTTAATTTGCAAAATGTCCATCAATTATCTCAAGATGACTTAGACCTCATTGTTCATGTATTTTCATATAAATTGCATTCTCCTTCCATTGCTTACTGTTCGATCCTCTTGTCTCTCTGCTGCCAGACATTCTGTTCCTGACTAGCGTCATATACTACTTATGTCAATGTGAGTAGCTCACAGCACGATGTCAGTTAAAGATGAACTCGGAAAAAGTTCCAAAAATACCTTCATAAACTATTTGTTGTCTGAAAGGTTTTGAACATTCAGCCTCAAAATCGCTTACATTAGAGTACATTGATGTCTTAAGAGACATATTTCGTTATATATGGAATGATAGGTAATAGTAACCATTTCTGTAGCTAACAAACCCAAACTAACTTTTCTGTCTCAAATCTTTCTTCATATAGGTTATTTCATTCATAATTAGGACTTCCATCATATCATAAGAAACGTATATTCACTTTAGGTTTGGTAGCACACTTTACAAATATTTATTTTATGACTGAGATTTTACTTTTTTAGTACCATGAGTTTAAAAATGCCAATGCATCTTTTATTGCAAGGAATTTATGTACATAATCTTCATTAGAAATGCAGTTTCAAAAAAAAATCTTATTTTTATTTTGTCCGAATTGTGTTAATGATGACATTTGTGTATGTAGATAATAATTGAAATTTCTAGCAGACACTGACGAGCTGTATACAATTTGGTAATATCATCTTGTTGTCATGGTAACCAAATCTGAACTGTCAAGAATGTATCATTTCAAGTTAACTGAGAAAAGAAATGAACCGTAGTTTTGTGGCACATATGACATATTAGTTAGAAATAAATAATTATGTCACTGAAATAAATCTAACAAAAAATAATGTAATAATTTTCGTAATAGAAAATCCAACGTTAAAGGAATTTGTATCATTTTTAGAATCATCTGTCAACTTATTGAAAAACTATTCATTATTATATTCAATATTCATTTTGTTTTATTGGCCACACAATTTTATTTCTTTTGTCCGACAGAAGGAAGTATGTAACTATAATTATTTAAATCGGTAGTTCCAGAAGCATAAAGCAATAGTTAGACACATTGTTCGAGAAATCAAAATGAGAGATATTTAAGTATGAATTGGGAAGACCAAGAAAGGAAGAACGGGAATAGGAAGTAATTAGTGTAGAAATGCAAGAACAATGAAGTTCCAGACAATTATTGAACATTTTGCAAATTAAGTATTATACTATGGTTTTTCTATTCTACCAAGTAACTCTGTAATGTTGTGCTAAATATAGTTTGGTTGTCCTCACCTGTGTTCTCCTTCACTACAGTGGTATTATGAACACTTGGCTATGAGTAAAGTAAGGAATCTTCGTAGTTACATTCATTGAATAAGAACCTTAGTCAACTGTTCATCAATTCGAACATTCAATTGGTGTTTCAAAATGCTCATTACAATATACTGACTCAGAAACTCATCTAAGCGAGACAATAAATAATTTTTACAAATTATTTCAATCTAAAGTTGTTTTACGACATTAAATCGAATGAACATGTATTTGTAGGGTAGTCTACTAATTAAATAAAAAAACTATTGTATCAGTGTATTTTTCAGTATAATACGTATTTTTTTCAAATGAAATTAACTGGTATAAGTTATGATGGAAGGCCATAGGAAAATGAATATAGTAGTGGAAATTTCAGTTAATTCTAATGTTTTCTCTTTTTTATATATAATTGCAATGGCTGGATGCCAAATGTAAACTTTTAATTTCGAAATTGATTTCTTCGTAAATTGTTATCATTGAATGGGGTCATAACTATGATTGTTTTGATTAAAACTACTATAAAGTAATTAGCATTCTTAAGAATATTGAGTTTTCTATTACTGTAAAAAAAAGCATCTGAAACAATCAATTTATAATCAAATTAACATTACAGTGAGTTTTAGATAATTGATATGGTAGATTCTATGTTATTTGTTTATTATTTATATGAACACATAAATATTGGTACAAAAGGACACTGAATATATATGCGCTACACAAGTCACATGACTGTTGTGTGGGCTAAGATACTGCCTGGGTGCCCAGACCTAAGCAGGTGGTTTTCATAGGAGGTTACCTCCGGAGCCTTCAATCTAAAGATCTGATCCACAGGAGAGTACAGCAACGTCGTGAGATGCAGTCTCATGGTAGCCGGTGAACAGCAACTGGCTCACATTCCATTTGTTCTTTCATGATCACGGAACCCATGTGCATCAATCGTTCGGAATAACGGTTCGCCGACTTCCCTAGGTAAACTCTCCGTGTCCGCCAACTCGGTTAAAGCGTCGGGCATCCGATTTTCATCTTCTTAATTTTGTGAACACCACCACCGTCACTAGAAGACAGTAAGTAGGACTTCCCTATCAGTAGCTGAATACGCGCGAGCTTTTCAAGAGGGAGATCTGACTCTCCCTGCTCTCCGCCGTACCAGAGCATTCAAGAGCAGTAAATTCTATGATCGTCTAATAATTCTACAATTTGTGATGATGTCCTTTGAAGAAATTTCTAAGTCCAACTTCATCAGATAAGATATTATGCAATATTCTATTCCTTCATATAATCAGATTGTTATGTCCCGATAAGCATAATGAATGGTAACTTTTGAGATCCATTTATCCACCAATACTAGACGTATATTTTTATCGTATAATTGTTAAATAACTAAACTATTCATATTCCTCTTATTATAAGCTTTATTTTGACCTATGAACCATTATTATACGTTTTACCATTCTTGAACTGTGCCCTGTCGATTAATTACTACCTCCCACATTCACAGTCGCATTCGGCTAAATCTTGTTCATATGTTATTTCCCATTTTATGGTACGATGTGGTCTGTCTGGTCGGTACATAAACCCAGTATACTGGAAATAAATGATTCATATTGCAGAAGCTGAGATTTGTGTTCTGGACTTAACTGGCTGGGTTAGGTGAAAAGCAGAACCAATAAGGACTCTAGACTGCTCGTATGGGTTTTATGAGTCACTGGTCCGATCGATAATTCACTACTCTCTAACTGACGTTATCGTTACGTTATAGATTAACAGGGCACATAGGTCACAAGTTATAACACAGATAAATCACAACAATTAAGAGAATATTTTCAATCATAAATATTTAGACTTATATAATACTTATATATAAATATTTATACCTATTTTTCATTTGACAATTTTGAACAAACAATTTTGTTGTTGTTTGAAAACAAAGTTATCAGTGTTCATGATAATCACAAGAAAAAAAAGTTTTTTATACAACATACATCAATAAAAACACAAGATAGTCTCCTAGTGAAATAATTAAAGGGAAAACAAAAAACCTGTTTTGAAGTATATTAATGATGAAAACAAATTAAATAATGAGTCATATTATCTGTACACTTAAATGTTTACAATGAGAAGTACTAATTTCTCAACAACAACAATAAAACATACACAGAAAACCAATCAATCAAATTGTTTTTACCACAAGTTCCTAATTGTAATCAATAACACATCATATTCTGGAATCAAATCAAATCTCGATAGATACAAGTTTTTCTTTTGTTTCATATTCTGAGGGTATATTATCCAGTCTTAAATGAAAGTTGAATAATTTTGTAAAATGAAATTATTTGACAGATAATTTTTTTCAAATGTCATAAATGGAAAAATAAACAAAATTGATTGATATTGGTTACTTGTCTCTTCTCATTGATGTTTTTAGAACTGCAATTGATCAGTCTAATATTGGCATATGTGCATACCGTGCGTATTACCCCAATATTGCCTTAATTCACAAGCATTATATGCAAAGATGGATAGTGGCTAACAGTGGAATACAGGACCGGCGTTCTGTCTTATTTAGGACTCGTCAGCTGGATATACCTGCATCTCAGAGTTGATGTTCACTCCACGACTCGAACGCAGTACTGTTCGCTTCAAATGCCGTTGCGTTATCCACTTATCTACTGAGTCCTGATAGCCACTAGCTTGTATAATGGAGTGAAATCTAAATTTACTTGATATTGTTAACTTGAATCTTCCCGTTAATGCTTAAGACTGAAATTGATTGAGAAAATGTAAACAGAATCCTTGAAAGTTCAATCAGTTCTAAATATTTTCAACATTATGTTTTTACTTTTTACTGATTAGTAAATTGGAATATTAGGAGACAAATTATGACATTTTGACGTAACCTTTAATTTTATATTTTATAAATTAAGGATAGTAAATTTCTCAACTGACTGGTTTAGTATCAATCAAATAACAATAAAGATAGTATTAGTACATTTTTTCCCTATTGTCTTTAGGTAGCCATTTGTAAAATTAGCCTTTTTTTCTCTTTTATCGCATAAACTTTGATAATTTACTGTATGGCTTAATGTTACTCTTCAGTAACTAAGTTAATGTGTTGCATTATACACTCACATTTCTACAATTAGTATGCTGATTATTCCATGCAGTTTAAGTTTATTATTTGACCTATTAAACAGTAACTTTATAAATAGTGATAAACTAATAAACTTATTTGACCAATAATTTCAATAATCTTTTTCATGTTTACATTCATCTTTTTTTAAAAATTAGATTCATTAGGACTCAAGCAGTTTGTAATTACCTTATGTACAAATGTTGAAGTAAATAGTTATTCAAATCCAATGATCATAGACCAACAAACATCAATTTCCTGTCCATATAGAACAACTTTACATATTTTTGATGCATATTACAGTCAAGTAATTGACAAAAATTCACAATGCTCAAACTCACCTGAGCATATTGAAAGAAATCTAAAGTATTTAGATAGATCAACTTCAAAGTTCAGTCTAATAACTGAATGCTATGCTAAATCAATTGGACAGGTAAGTTGAATTCGATTACAATTAATTAGATAAATTCTTTATCTTTTTATAATATCACAGTGGTTAGCTTTATTACTGTTTAATAATAGCTTTAAGTAATCAATATGTCAGTTTATTTGTATTGTATATAATGCGAGAATTAACTGTGTAGGTTTCATCTTTTTAAGACTTGCAAGCTGGATAAACCTGCAGTAGTAATTTTCATACTAAAACTTGAACCCTTTACCAATCTCTTCAAACAATAAGGTATTATAAACTGAGCTGATGAAAACAGATAGTCATTAATTTACTTGACATGTGAAAGTAATTTGACATTCAATGTGTTAAATTTACTTCAGTATATTGCCTGATAGAACAGATTAAAGTTGTCAAATAATGCGAAATAGCTGTCCATTGTTATTCTGTTTTCGATAGTTCTCCAATAGATGTTGCTTTGTGATGAAAACCGGCTTTAGAAAATCTGTCACTATTTATGAACTCATAAAAAATGGAACTTTAGATGATGGGAATCAAGAGGATTACAAATTACAGTCATATTGTCTGATAAATTTGATTGGATAGTTCCATACACTTGTCAAATGGTTTTATGATCAAAATTTGATTGATCCGCATCATAGATAATCACGTTCTGAGCATAATACTTCAGAACAAATTAACTTTTTTTTAAAAATTATTTCGATTAGTATTAATTAAAACGCAGACAAACATCAGGTTTGATTCAATATGATTTTAATATAAATACAAACAACCATTTCATTTACTCATTACACATATATTACTTATAATGTAATTCATTAAAAACAACTTTTCATCTATTTTTATTAATTTTTAGATTGCAAAACGGTTGTGTGATGGTACAAATAGATGTGATTTAATTCATCAATTAAAACAGAAGAATATCACAAATTGTCCGTACCCATCAGTTTTACAAGTAAATTATACATGCTTCCCAGGTAAATGGGTTAATCTGTAAAATCTAAAAACAATTTATTATTATTATTATCCGAAAGAGGTTTTGTGGAGAATTTAGTAATTTTTTAGTTGAATTCATGTGTCAATTGAAGCTAGAAACCTGAAAGCACTGGACGGTCGTTCTGTCCTAGTATGGGACTCCTCAGCAGTGCTCATCCCCACAAATGGTCACTCAGTGTTTTCGGGTTTCCAACGATGGTCTAACAATGATCGCTTCATGATCTCATTTAAGTGAAATTGTATGTCAATCCGTATCTAATGTCTAAGTTATTTAGATATAATATTCAGTACCCATATATGTAAGTTTTATTTCACATTTATCTTGATATCTGTTTTTACTCTTTTTTTTATCAGTCTATTCTAAACAAGAAGTTATTTGTGCAGATTCTTATGTTGAATTATCCTGTAAAGCGTTTTCTATGGACATGGGATTAATAGTATTAGAAGCTGTACTTAACCATAATCTTTCAATACAATTAACTTCACCTTCCGAAACAAGTTTGCAAGGATGTTTAAGATCAAATGCAAATGGTAAGTAATATCAACATTGTATTTTATAAATGTAACGCTCATATGTATTATAAATTGGATATAATATAACAATTAGTAATTTAGATTCACTTGGTGTTGTTTTATTTGTGACTTCCCGTTGTTATTTAGGACCTCAATTGATCAGTCTAGTATTGGCATATGTGCATCCAGTGCGAATTGCTACGATAAAGCCTCAAGTCAGAAGCATTATAAGCGAAGATGGATAGTGGCTAACAGTGAAATACAGGACGCGCCTTTCGTCCTATATGAGACTTGTCAGCTGGATGTACTTGCATTCCAGAGTTGATGTTTACGCTACTGAGTCCTCAGTAGCTAAGTGGATAACGCAATAGCGTTTGAAGCGAACGGTATTGGGTTCTAGTCTCGGAGTGAACATCAACTCTGGGATGCAGGTACATCTAGCTGACGAGTCCCAAATGAAATGAGACACGCATCCAAGATTCCACTGTTAGCCACTATCCATCTTTGGTTAGTTAATAATTTAGTTTTATTTTAAGATTCAGAATTAATGTATTGAAACTACTGAAGAGAATTAAGTAAACAGTGAATCGACTAAATGGTTTAAAAAAATAATACCATTTAGATCTAGGAGTTCAAATACAATTAAATTGCATTTTATTTATTTATAATTACAATGATTACTTCTAGATATCAATTAAGAGAACACTATCAAACTATAGTTTATTAGTTTATATTGTAAACTATAATGGTTGAACTGAATGAAATGATCTGATATTTTGACACTATATTTGAATAACGTAACATTTTTGTTTTAATATTTATGAAAAAGTTCTTCAGTATCTAACCTTTAATTGTATAAACCTTATACAGCAATATAAACAATATTCAGAATGATCATATTTTGACTTTGATGACCACCCAGTGATTGTTTTTAAATTTTAGTTCCAATGATTTTTTTAAATTTTAATTAATGAACTATCAATTTTTAAAAACAAAAAGAAGCATTTTACTACTGAAAACAAGATGATTTTGGACAATGTAAAAGGGGTAATAAAGTACCTTGACATTTGAAAAATCAAATTGAATGTTTACATGAAGGTGTAAACTATGTTATGTTTTACTAAATTATAAATGTTGTTTCTTAAAATATCTAATGGATTAGACATGATTACTCATAGTGAGTAATTTACATCATGGAAAACATTAAAATACAGGATTAGTCTGTCATAATCAATATATAGCATAGAATGAATGCAAATCGGATAATGTTCTTACACTAAATCACTATGAGAGATAGCATTGCCTAGATAAGCATCGAAAGGATCGAACTAATATTAGTAACGAAGATGGGAAGAAAGAGAAGCACACACACAAAAGAGAGAGGAATAAATATGGACAGGTTATAGATATTCATCGAGTAAGTCTTATGTAGTAGAAGGAATCAAAAAGTCAACAAACAGTCAGCAGATATAACCAGATTAATTTTAAAGTAATCGTTTCTTTAAATACCATGTTTATATCACATAACAGTTTCGTCTCACAGATTCAATAAACTAATTGACACTTTCCTACATCGTTCATAACTTGGCATCATGAATTTTAAGTTGAGTGATAAGAAAATCTTAAATGAAACATTTAAACAAATTCCTGCATTAGTAGAAATAGTCATTCATTGCTTCAACAGTTTTACGTTAAATGTTATTAAATGCCATTGAATATTCTGTTTCGTTTATCATTTGGATAAATACATAGTCATTACTTCCAAACCATTTTTTACACAATTGATTGAGACTTTTTCTATAGTCAAATAGAGCCAATTTATTGTTAAATACAATGCATTATATCAATTCAAATATACTTAATTTGCCATAAAACTCTAATATTCAAAAACCTTCCCAATGTAAAATGCAAAATTCCTTTAAAAAAAGGAAATTATTATTAAAATGAATATGATGACTTCTTTTTTGTAGTGATTACTAAATTATTTTCTAGAAGGTATTCAGAAAATCAATCTCTCGATTCAATAAAGACACAACATTATTTAACTTTGACCAAATTTTATTTTTATTACTGTCAGTACAATGAATACATCACAGTATATTCCTTAATAATTCAATAGTTAGATATTCAAACCGTTGGATAACGGCCGATTCAGTAGTCTAGAAGTTAAGCGTAGGTGGGTGAGACCTTTAGGTTCAGGGTTTGAATCCTTCAGGCGAGATCATGGAAGTGTACAGTTTAGGAGTCCCATACTAGAACTAAAGGGCCATCCAGTGCATTCAAGTTTTCCATGGTGGTCTAGTTTTAACTGACTTATGAATTCAACTATTAAATAAACAACTGTTAATATTTATTACATTACTTTAAATAGTAATAATTAAAAAATTAATGACTTTCAAGTTTATAGCTATACAGATTTAATAATGAAAAGTCAATCTAGTCAACAAATGTATCATTACAATAATGAGTTGTCAACTACTAGTAATTGTATTTTAAGCTTAATTATATAATCCAAAAACTGTAATTTATTTACCTTTATTCCAGTAAATAAAAAACAAAAAAATAGATCTTCCGAAAAAAAAGTGGTAATATAGATGATTTGATTTATTGATTGGAATACATATTTATCAATTTTGCTTATTGATTAATTCTATAATGTCAAGTTTTACATTGAATGATTATTGCTGAATCAAGAAGTGATGTGTTGCTAACATATTGGTTAGTAATAAGATGTAAGATTACGTGGAAATTTGAATAGCTAGTTGTATATATATATGTGGATGAATAGAATCTCAATGCATTCTCTTTTTTAGTTTCATGACAGAAATAAGAGAAACCATCTGTAGAACAAATCGATGTTAAAATGTTGTGTTGTTTAATATAATGTAAAATCATTCACTGATTCAAATAATTTCAATAAAGTATTAATCGTACATTTAGTACGAATGTTCACCTCATTATTATCCGTAAAATACCAAGGTAGTTTAATCACGAACTATAATCAACTACATAACCGATGGAAATCAGGTAATTATCGAAAGATGTTTGATTTAAGGGTAGAATTCATCAATTGTGTACACATAATATTTCTCATCTTGGTAAGATTTATGTATTTAAAGCTAGTCAGTTTCTACAAGCAACTTTCAACGTTCTTCATAGAAAGCCTGATCTAGCTTAAGAAGATCATTATTGGGAACAGAACTGACATCACTGATGAAACTGAATGATATTTATGCTAAATAAACTAGTGTTGGGAATATTGGACATTACATTTCGAACGATTTGCCTAAATATAAACTTAAGTCGTGGATTTTATTATTTATTTTGTTACGTTTTAGGCTAAAAGAAATTTTTTTCCCTAGAAATGTTGGTCATTATCATAGTTTAACAGAAGAATTCAGTGTCTATTACTTACTTACCTGCTCCTGTTACCCCTCGTCGAAGAACATAGGCCGCCCACCAGCACTCTCTATCCAACCTTGTGCTGAGCAATCCTTTCCAGTTATTCCCAGTTGCTATTTATCCATTCCATATCTGCTTCGAATTTCCGACGTAGTGTGTTCTTCGGGCCTTCCGCTTTTCCGCCTCCCTTCAGGATTCTAAGTTAGGGAAATTCAGTGTCTATAATTGACTGATTTTCAATGGTTTCTCACATAGAAAAAAAGTGAAACAAAATACTTTCAACTATTCAATTATCATGATATATTGAAATATATCTGAACATTTTAAAGTTGGGTTGTATTACAATTGTCAGGAATGTACAAGTAACAATTTTGGTTAGCCATAAAATATCTAAAGCTTTAATTGTTCTAATCATTCATGTTGTGATAACTCATCAAATGTCATAGATATTATAACAGAACTTATGCCTTTAATGACTTAGATAATGTGAAAAACAAAATACATTATTGACAATGTCAACTTCTTGTTTGACCTAGTGAGTTCCATCCCCACTAACTTTAGCACAATTTCTCTGTTTTAAAGAAGTGAGCACTGATGATTTGAGGCAAGAGAGAATGTAACTGAAGAAGATATGTTTGTTACAAGAAGAAAAGAGATTATATCAGTACATAACCTCAAAACGCTTATTTTTACATCTTTTCAGTTTATAATTAATATTAATTCATAATTGAATAAGCTTTAATTTTGTAAGTTCATAAGGAAAACATCAATAATCTATTGCACATAACAAATTTACTTATCTCAAATAAATAAATATGTTACAGTCAGCCAAATAACTGATATACTTAATCAGACTCTGTGTAAAACCTCTAACAAATTTTTAAGTTATATACATTTGTGCATAAGCCACATTATGGTAACAGTGGTTTGTGTGGGGAGATATTCTGATCCAATTTCAGTTTATGAATGATATGGATTTACGATTCGAAATTATCAGTAAGCTAGAGCATTTTATTCAATATTTACGTAATAACATTTGGCGTAAATTCTGTGCCTTCTAATTATTTTAGAACTGATCTGAATCACATTATTTCAGGACTAAAAACTGAATTTCATTAGCCAACTAAAAAAACTTCTCATTTAGGGGCTTGAATCAACCTTCCGTCGTTAATTTTTATTTAATTCCAGGAGATAATAAAGGAAACATGCCTGATAACAGTCAAACTAAGTCATCTGTGACACCAGCAGAATATATCACTGGTCATAATATAAAAAGTATGATTTACCATAGTTCATCAGATTTGGGACATTATTAGTCGTACCTGAAATACATTATTAGTTAGTCAAAATGGTTACTAACCTAAGTAGATTGTTTACTTTGGATATAATATTTTAGTGTTCTCAAAATTAAAATTGATAGAAAGGATGTTTACTTTCTTCTAACTTATATTATAACCTAAAAGAAACTTTATTTTATTCACTAGAAAGCACTGACCTGTATGATAAAGGATCAAGAGCCTCAGTCAGAACTATAAGATACACGTCTTTTCAATTTGAAGATTAAATAAGTGAAAAATGGAGGCGATGAAACGTTTCTGTGACAGTGGTTATTATTA